AAAAAAAGCACTTGCATTTGCTTATTTAATTAGAGTTGATGTTATTTAAGTGCAAAAAAGAAAGAAAAAAAAAAGGAAAAAAGAAACGAAGACAATTGAGAAAGTTTTTTTTACACCGTAAAATTTTTGTTGATTAGAATAAGTCTGAAAGGTTGGTGGATACAGAATGAATTTTACTGCAACGCTAATAAGAACTGTAACTGTAACTGTAACATTTTCAAAACAGTGGTTTAATCAATGCCAATGAATGTTAAAGTAATTTTTGAATTGTAAAACAAAAAACTTTCATTTGTTTTTCACTTTAATTATATTCATTTTTTTTTTTTTTTAGCCAAGAAAAAATCTTATTTGTTTGAACAATTCAGGAGAAAGAAAAAAAATAAAATAAAATAAAATGAACAAGCAAGCAAATAAATAAATATAAAATTCAAGAATTCAGAGTGTTGAAAATAGGATCCGTGAAGAGGCAACAAGATTCTCTTGGAAACTTAATGATGCAAAAAAAAAAAAAAAAAAAAGTCTGCTGTCTAGAAACACGGAACGAAACTTGCAAAAAAAAGAAAAAAAAAAAGGAAAATAGTGAAAAATCAATGATTCTGTGGTGGATGTTTAAAGGATACAGAAATAAATGTAGACAAATATGTTTTAAAGTTTTATATACTAACTTTTTACTCATACCTTATCAGTGTTACTCAAAGTTTTTCATAACATTTTTTGTCAACTGCCATAAAAAACCAATTTTTTTTTTTCACCATTAATAAATGCCCAAAATTAGTCTGTTTATTACAGTTAAATTTTACATCGCGAGAACATTAAAAAAGGTTTTTCTTGCAACACAGTTATTAAAAAAAATTCTACATTAAACACTGTAACTGATACTTTTTCAATAAGCAAAATTTTTGTTCTATTTCAGTTTTTTGCTCAGAACTGAAGAGTACAATTTTATAATCTGTGTTTGAATTACACTCGCAGGTATCATATTTTTACTGCTTTCTTATAAAAAACGTAAACCTTTTTACTAATATTCTATCTATAGTTCAAAAGATTGAAAATATTTGTAATTGCCAATTTAGTTTTTCTAATCCATCTTCTTTGTTATTAGTTTCTCTATACAGTTATTAGAATTCTTTATTTTTATTTAACGAGTAAATTACTGTTTTTGTTGTCCACAAGTAGCTCAACTGTTAAATATGAACTGGTAGGCATAAGTTCGTCGATCTATCAAACTCAGCGAATTTGACAAAAAAAAAAAAAACCAATGCAAATTTGAAACCTAATAAAACCGAGCGAGTAAAGTGGCAGCATCTCATAAAATCTTTTTCATAGTACAAAAGATAGTGTAAGGTAGGGAAAAAGAAAAAGATGAATTTGAAATAAATTTAAAAATGAGTTAGAATAAAGTAAAAGTAAACAGCAAAATGAATAGCTGCATGATAATCGTTTCATAAGCTGACAGTAAACGACAGTTTAGAACAGTTAGTAAAAATTGACGGCAATGACGATTATGTAACTGATTTTTTTTTTAGAAGGCTCTGCAATATAACTACAGCTCGGTGTTCTTCGCGGCCGTTGCAAGTGATGACCGCAGTTTCTCTTATGTTTTCTTATTTTATTCTGAGAAGATCTCTCTGTTTTTGTGCTTTAGTTCGCTCTTAAGAGCTACCTCTGTGATACATTCAAAAGCGAAGAACTGAATAGTACAAAAAAATATTTGTTTTTATTGAAGAAGAGGAAAGAAAAATTCTCTCTACCAACAATAGTCGACAATTGGAGCATAATTGTAAACCTCACTTCAATCGCACTATAATAGTTTTAAGCAATCAAACTTGGTAGACAGAAACTACTATATACTTGATTTTAAGTTTTCCACTGATACAGTTTGCACGAATAGAATAATTCACATAAAATTTTGATCATTAAAAGTTAAAATTGAAAAATTGAAATTAAGAAAAAAATGTTTGTTTGAAATAATGTTAAGCCAAAATGAATTAAGCAACTTCAACATTCCTATGCAGCATTCTTACAGCAACGTCAGGCTTTTTTAAATAAATGCCTAATAACTGTCTGCTTATACGAGCTAATAGCTTACTTTTATATCAAACTGTAGTGATTAGGATATGTCTAATTTTGGCTAATATTTGTTGGTATTTCCAGTTTTTAATAAATATATCATCGACAGCTTCATGCAGAGGCGTTGCAATTCGATTAAAATTAGCTTACTGCTAACTATTTCATTTTGTCAAAATTTACTAAGGAAAAATTGTCTACTTCGAACAAGAATCAAAAATATGGCAATATTTTATAAATGAATAGACTGTTAAAAAAAACAATTTTTATTTCAACTTTTAAACAACTGTCACTTTTTTTGACATACACAGAGATTCTCGTCTTTAATGTATTTCAGAAAAAGGAAGACGAAATTTTTTTCTGGCATTTAACGTGCTGCTGCAAGTCGTTAAATATCCACTTTGATTG